GCGTGCAGGCCCGGGTGCGGGTGGGCCACGTCCCGAATGATGTTGTCTAGCTCGCCCCCCGTCATGACGATAGGCGAGAGGGTAGCGCCTCGCATTAGGTACAAGGCCGCTTGGCCGTCCTTGTCCCACGTGCGGCCCTCCAGCTTTTGGGCTTCTTTCAGCCGATGGGCATTGTATACAGGCGCGGCCCCCGGGATGCTCGCAAGCTGTTGGTATCCCTGGGGCGCGGCCGACTGGTGGTAGTGCTGGCTGGGGTAGNGCGCCTCGCATTAGGTACAAGGCCGCTTGGCCGTCCTTGTCCCACGTGCGGCCCTCCAGCTTTTGGGCTTCTTTCAGCCGATGGGCATTGTATACAGGCGCGGCCCCCGGGATGCTCGCAAGCTGTTGGTATCCCTGGGGCGCGGCCGACTGGTGGTAGTGCTGGCTGGGGTAGGCCTGGAGTTGTTGGTGTTGATGCTGTTGTTGCAGCGGTTGCGACTGCGGCGGCTGCTGCTGCTGGTGAGGCTGTTCCTGCTGCTGCTGCAGTTGCTGCTGCTGCTGCTGCTGCTGCTGCTGCTGCTGTTGCGGCGGCACTTGGACCAGGGAGAGGACTACTGACTGGCTATTGTCGGGGCGGAGCTGCCCTGTGCATTGTTGTGGGCCGCGGCGCCCTGCGCGGGCTGCCGTTTGCCGGCCAAGTTTACCACAATCTCCTGGAGAGACCGGATCTGTTGTTGCTGGCGGTGGCCCTGATTGACGAGCTGTTGCAGCAGCGAGAAGAGGTTCGGATTGTTCCCGGCTCCTTGCTGCTGCTGCTGCTGCTGCTGCTGCTGGGGCTGCTGCCCCTGCTGCTGCTGCTGCTGCTGCGGCTGCTGTTGTTGTTGTTGTTGCTGCGGCTGCGTGTTTTGGTCGTCCCCGCCTCCGGCAGCTGAATTTGGAGGACTGCCGTGCCCCGAGTTGCCTTGAATGGCCGCCGCGGCGCCCGCCGCGGCGCTCGCGCTCGCCGGTTGCCCACCATTCACTGCCGTCCACCCCAAAATCGATCAAATCCTAGGCGGCACTCCGTGTTTGCTGCTCCTCAAAGCTGCTATCTCTGCTACTCCTCTCCTTCTCTCAAATGCACTTGCTTGTCTCTCGCCCAGCGAGAGCACAAAAACTTTCTGACACCAGGGCTGTCTCTTTTTTTCTTCGATCCCCGCTTTTCCGAATTCCAACACGTCCCCACAAACCACAGATTCAAATACGTACTGAATCTTAACGATTCTAGAATTAAAAAACCGTTGGCCGAAACTCGCCAATATCTAGTTTGTGAAACTATTTGAACCGGCCCAAAACTTTCTGTGAGTTCCTTGCAACCTTTCACAAACCCGCTTTTCCTGTTGGGTTCTGTGACCTACCAGATAGTTCTGTGAGTTCTGCGAACACTTGCTATACCCTGCAGAAACTTAGAGACCCTACAGAAGACACCCTGGAATATTTCAGGGTCTCCGGGCCCTGACGATTTGCAAGTACCTAGGATTTTTTAAGAGAAAATAAATCCCCAAACGGTCTCCCGGTTTGCAGAACTGCAGTCGGTGGATTATTTTCACTGTTTTCTTCGCATGTTGATGTCGAATGATGAGTGGTCGGGAGATCCTGGGGAGAGTATCATTCCACTACCATAGTATCTGCTGTATCCTCGTTGTTTTGGCTTTCGACGTACCTGCCGAACTCACTGAGGCCTGCCTGCTACGGCATGACATCACACCCATGCTTGTGTGTGTTCATTATCTCAGCGTAATTTGCATATATATGGCCCCAACCTGCCGGTGCTCTGGTAGACAATTCTTTTACGCCAGCACAAAACGAACAACTGCAAGTTCAAGAAATGCCGTCGAAGTTTACACTCGTCGAGAATTATCGTACATATACGTTGGCCCAAGGTAGCGGGAAATACTTGTCAGTTTTCGGACATGACCCGCCTGTGGATTAGGGTCTTACAAAGCTCCTTGCTGAAGCCCCTTCGGTTTTACGGAAGTGTTTCCCTTCCATGACGAGATTCCAGTTTCTCAGGAGAAGTCTATCGATTTCCCCATAAGCACACAGGAATCTCGTCCCATCCTTGTACTACAATTTTCGTCGCACTTGCCACCGTCATCAGCGAGGCGCTGCGATCAGTAATCGTTGCTGTGTTTGGCGAGGGCCCCACACACACAACTCTTGGCTCGTTTGTGAACCATGCTAACCTTGTTGTTCCTTCCACGACCAGGGCGTTGATCCGTTGTTGCATCTGCCGTTCTCGTCCGGTCTTGCACCGGCGAATGTCGTTCGGGTCCTGAATTTTAGGAGGCTGGACGGAAACTCTCTGGAGTGCTTCCCATCGACAACACTGTGAGGCACGCCAAATACGCTTTGATTGATCGCTTCGAAATACATAGTGTATCAATGTAACAACTTGGACGGCATCACGCGTTTGTTTGCGGATCCGTCCATCATCACGTGGAACCAAGCACACAATTGTTGTGTGCTGCTACTCGCGATATCGGACGAATGTGTCTTACTGTAGCATTGTTTCTCAGAATGTTGACCGAAACGTGATTCATTCGAAGAACATGAGAACCCTCGAGCCGCTTTAGCTATCGCGTTGGCCATATTGTCCCGGCTCACAATGAGTTTGATCGAGCACGTTTGGGCTAGCACGCCTATTACCGCATTTGATCTTCGGTTGAACCTGCAGAATGGAGACTGTCCCGGCATGTTCCTTGCTTGTGCTTTGCCCATGGAGCATGTTCATTGATGTATTGCATCGTAGATCGGCATCGCCTTGTTCGCTAGACTGTGTAGCGCATCCCGCTGTGTGCACGTCGCAGGGTAGAAGTTGATGATGATACCTCGACTTGTGCAGACGGGCTTCACGTTGATACATATGGTGACGAATGTGGTGAGTGGTTCGCCGACAAAGGTGTACCGAGATAGGTACTCACGGGTACAAAAGTTGTTGTTGCTGCCTCGCAGTCTGCCTCACGAAGATATCGGGTCCATCAAGTCGATTTTTCGATGCGGTGGCCCAGGAAAAGATTGCGCGGGATTGTGTTGCGCTCCTTCCTCAGTCGGGGCATCCCGCTGCGGCTTTTCGTAGTGAGCGGCACAGAGGTCCCGTGAAACACGGTTTGGCGTCGCCGCTTGGTCCAGGTATTGTACATCGATCACTTGCTCCCGCGGGTGATTCGGATCGCCATAGAGGGTGCTCAGCTGTACCACGCCCAGACTACACCGTGAAGAGAAAGAACGACGAAACAGTCCCGATGGGTCTGCATTTTGATTCAGTCGCGGCCATCTCTTGACGTCAAGACAATGACCGGAAGGAGTAGCAGTGCGAAGTGAGCCCGAACGCGGCTGTTCCGTGGTATTTGACGGCTTTTTCTCTGTGAAAGTTATTACAACAATAATATCTCAAACCTCTGCCCAAGACTGGTCTCGAAGGTCACAATCGGGTGGAATGGCTGTAGGCATGCCAAAGTGTGGCCGAAATGTGTTGTCATCGGTCTCCCCAAGCCGCGAAGCGTTTGTAACTTCAAGTGCAATTGATTGCCATGTTCTGAACGTTTTCAGGGTGTTCTATTGAGGGCGTGATCGACAACGTGTGCGGCCAAGAAACGTGCACTCCCGGAGAAGAACGGTACACCTGGGGTGAGAGAACACAGGCCCGAAACGCTACTCCGTAGTATGCTATCGTTTATCCTCTCCATCGAGGGTCTTGCGCTGTCGACGAACTGACACTGTCCAATACCCATAGGTTTATACCGACAAGTTCTTCTCCATGTCTCGGAACTAGATGCGACCTTGATTTAGCAGCCAAGGTGCGCAAAGACAACGTCAACTACGAATAATTCTTAGGTTGAAGTTTCTGCTGATGGCCTACGAAGGCAGAAAGCAGACATGCGTCGTCATTATCTACGTTGTAATAGTCCCTAACGAAGCCGCCTGAACTAATGTACCGGCGGAAATCCTGTAGGCTACATATGCGACCGCTGTTTGTCGTCAGATCCATTCAATACGCCAACAGACTTTCTCAAGCAGGAGGTCCTCCGAAAGTGTTAAAATATTCTCTCAACTGAATGAGTGCCAGCATACATCCGACCAAGAAAGGTCGCCTGTGGTGTTTCCCTTGTTGGCTTGGCTCTCCCGCTGCTCCGGCTGGGAGTATGTAGGGTGGAGCATAAGTACTGGTGCTGGTGAAGCTCTCGATTGTCCAACCCAAATATATCGTTCAGTGTCCGCCTGCACCTCTCTGGGCATGGCCGCCCCGGAATCAACCTACGACGGCACCCGGCTTGAGCTAACGTATTTGCCGCCGCATTTACCGTTCAACTCGGGGGTACTGTTTTTGCAGAAACAGAACTATGCCGTGGAGTGTTTTCATATCCCCGGCTTTGCTCCAAAGATTCCCAGTTCACGAAGAGACGGAAATCCCCAACAACGTGACTCGTGACCATTGAGGCCACCCCCTTCATCAAGGCGCTTCAGCTGTTGGCGCGGTGTTGTTTCCAAAACGAGCTATGGCATAGTTTAGATCCGTCAGATTGGCCGCAAAATGAAAAGCCAGAGCTTCTCCACGAGAGACTCGAATTGCCCGCGAAAGACTACCCGGATGACCACCATTTTTTGTTCGTGTTTCTATTATTGTTGTCCTTCTTCTAGCACCCTATGAATGGTAGTTTTCAGCGCCATCTTTACAAGTAGGCACTGGTTGCAGTGTTCGGGATACAAGCTTGAAAGTCTTGCTGTACTTCCGGCCCCCTTAGGAGACACATCGCAATGTTCTGTTGTATCCGAAACAAGGCAGACAGTTGCAATCATCAAAAGCCTCTGATAAAACAGACCGGCAAAGAGTGGCTCTCCCAAGCCACATAGTCAGTGCACGCGTCCATGCCTACCATCGGACGGGGGTCCATCGTTTGTGGTGCTGCGGTATCATCGCTTGCACAATCCGCCAAAACTCGCTGACTTGGTGTCTCGCAGAGGCGACCACGCCGGCGCCTGAGGCTGTGGCTGCACCCACCCTTACGTTGGAAACAGGAGCACCTACGCTGGGCACCGCTAAACCGGAATCTGCGCTAGAACCTACGGTGGCACCCACCTCGAGCTCAAACGGTAGGCTTCTGTACGTGGTTTCGCAGCTGCTTTTCGGTTGAACTATTCCGCGAGTGGATGATGCAACCGCGTCCCAGAAAATGAACAACAACGTAGCTCGAAATATGCCAGCGTTCACTCCAGTTTTATGTGGTCATACGGTGGAAACAGTTCGCTTTCCGTACGTTGCTTTGCGCACATGTTTGTCAGGGTGGGAGGCGGTTAAGCAGATAAGGTAGAAAATCTGTTGAGGGCACAAGGTTGTTCCTCTTTGTAATTGGTGTACAAATACGCCTGACCTGCACATATGCCATACCCACATCTGGAAGTCAATATTGTTCCGAAGGACAGTCAAGCAGCGGCGTAGATCAGCAGGCGAGTAACAACATCCAACAGCAGCACATAGCGTCCTCGGAAGCTCGATAGTCAGAATATCAGGTTCAGCACTCACAGTGGTGGGCAATCGGGTGGGCGATGGCACGGGTATGGCTCAATCTTGGCGGTGTCAAAGTGACATACCTGTTTCATCGAGAAAAACGCCAGAGGAGGCGTGTTTCCTGTAGGGCTCAGCGGACTAACCCGGAACCCTCCCCTCCACCAGACTTGATTGAGGGGACCTATTGGTCTGTCCAAATCTCCTGTCATGCATGCCAGTTTACGCCCATTGCATGTCCGAGACCTCACCGGGTGTTCATCACCGAATTTCTTGAAGTGTTGAGACGTCCAGCCGGAACGGTAGCTGTTACGATACCTCCACGACCGGCTTTGAGTTCCTGCCTGATGTCGCAGCTTCCCATGGAAACCCACGATATATTGTGATTTGTTCACTTCCGTCTTTCGAGTGGCTTTGTCGCCGCCATCTCGCCTACCCCTCACCGCCCCCAAAATCCGATCTTGCTCTCGGAATCAACTGGCGCAATCCTGCAATATTTCCTCGGAACTAGGGTCGACTTCGGACTTTTCGCCCATGGTATTGGGGGTAATCTCCGCCGTTGCCGGCACGGTCCTCATTGCACTCGCAGTGTAGGACAAGCGTCGACGAGACACAAGGCGAAAGATCGCGTAGCCCCGCTTGGCTCCTTCTGCCCCCGGCGGCGGCAGCCTCGAGCAAGGCCTTGGCCCGTTCCCCCCCCCTTCCTGCCCAGAGGCGCTTGCCTCAGGCAAAGGAGGCGACGACCACACGTCACCATCTGCAAAACGCAACAAGGCATGGCCATTTCCGTAAGCGCGCGACGGAAAGGGTTGGCGGTGGAGACATGGTTCCGCGGTCGGCACCGACGGCAGTCGTCTTGGGTGCTGTTGAAGATCGTGATGCCACTGGGCTCAGAGGCGAGAGAAGTGCCGCAGTTCTACCCTCAGCGGAAACTTCGACGACGGACACTACGTCCACCGCCAAACACTCCACCGCAAAGGTCTCCAAGCACGAACGGGCAGAACTTGCCGTGTTTGAACGAAGGCAAGGCGTGCCGGAGGCCGCTCCCGTCGCTGGCGGACATCGACCAGAACAAGCCTCCGGAAGCAGCGGCGGGGGCGGGGGCGGCGGCGCCAGAGAAAACTCCTCGGCGGCCGACCGCCCGAACTCGTCCGACGACTTCGGGTATGGCCACGCCGTCTTGGGGGCAGCACAAGAGCAGGCGCATCATGACCAGGTCTCCGGCATCGGCGAGGCGGCCGGGGTGTTGTGCATCATGGCAAACCGCTTGAGGACAACCGTGAGAACGACCGGGCGAACGATTCAAGGCTGAAGCAGTGCCGCTCGATCGTGACGGCGCTTAAGCGGGCCGAGAAAGTGGTTGGCAAGGTGAGCTAGCTGAGAGCGTGCGGGGCTTCGTCGATTGTCTTTGGTCGGACGTCCTGTCCAAAAACTGTGTGTCACAAGTTCGATTGTACCTTCGGCTTGGCCGGGTGTTTTACATAGAAGCCTCTCGGGTTCTCTCATGAAGATCATTCATGTGCGCCACCGCGGGGTGCTACGGTGGCCTCTTTCCATGAATCCCAGGTTGGCGGCACAGCCGGGGAGGCGGCGCGCGTCTTGATTGAACACGGCACGACGCCATCTTGGATCTCGTGGAGCTCATAAAATGTTTCAGAGCAAGAACAAGCTCTCTAAGATGTTGCTGTCGACGCTGTTCAAGTGGCACCGGGACGAGAGGTGACGTCTTCAACATCCGAACGCACCATGGATCGCAACTTGACCGTACATTCATCAAGTAGCAAAAAGCTTCTCCCAGTTTTCGATTGCAAACCTTTGAAAGGGAAGTTGCACCACCCGAACAGACAGGTATGCGTGTGCCACACATTACCGCTGCAAACGTAGAAGTAGCATGAGCACGAACGTCTATACTACCTGAAAATGACCGGCCGTTAGTCAACGAGCGAACGGCAACATGTAGGTCCACATGTACAGCGGTAGCCACATGTATCTCGGGAAGACATGTTGATTTCGGCGGAATGACGGCTTACGCAGCAGATGGTGGACGTGCGCACACAGTAAAATCTGTTTGCGCCCATTGACCTAGGATTTGTTCGCCGAAAGGTTGGCGCGGCGTCCTGTTTACGACACCGCCGTATCCACCTTCGGTCAAACCCTTCATCCTTGTCGATCTCCGGGATTTGTCCTTCAGCCCCCGCGGGTTGGTGGGTGTCGCAGTACAGCCGATGAGTGATTGCTCCTCTTCTCGCTTAGCATTCCGACCTCTTCTTCACGAGTCGAAACGTTTTGGCCTGCCTTTCTTAGGGCCTGCGCTGGGTTCGCGGTCGACTTCCCACCATGCAGGTACTGGACGTATGCCCCGACTTTGGGTCGGCATATCCAGGGCTTGGTCAGGCGAAACTGACCGCAAGCTTTCCCTCACGTTCTCCTTGCTCTTCGCCACCATCGTGGCGAAGACTTGGCGCTGATCGAATACCTCACGGCGTTCTGCCGCATCTTCTGCATCCCCGCTACTCCTATCCTTGCCCGAGTAGGCACAATTCCATTATCCTCTTACTCATCGCCGTTACTCCTTCCCTTGCCCGAGTAGGCATCACTGTCGGCATCCTCCTGATCGTCGCTACTACTCTATTCTTGTCCGAGTAGTCGTCACTGTCGTGATCCTGCCCCTCGATAGTGCCATTCCCGCTCCCCCCCGTCTCCACACTCTTCTTCGGCACACTGCCGTCGATCCTTACCTCGTTGGTGGTAGTATCCTTGGCATCCGCTGTCCCCCCCCCCCGGGTTCTGGCCCCTGCCCACCCTTTTCCCGTGCCCGATTGGTGTACCGGTATCGATCGGGTATGCGCTACGTCTGCGTCGACGAGACCAGCAGGAAGCGTTTGCATGCAACCTCTTAAAACCCTCGCCACATCCTACGAGGCGGGTTCGAGATTTTCATCCTCGTTGACCTTGTTGTCCACTCCAAAGCCAAGATTTCCGGTATCCCAGATCCCGCTGTGAAACGGAGTCCCAACTCCGACACGCATATCCCCCTGGTTGAGCGAATCAGAGGCATCCTGTCGCACGGCGTCGTTGCCGAATACGTGTTTTTCTGTCAGTTTCGAGGAGGGTAACTCGCCGAGGGAACCACTACGCACCTGAAACAGGGCACTGCGTTTTCAGTACCCCTACACGGTGGTCGAAGTCGAGGTGAACGTGTTGCAAAAATGCTGTGACATCCCAAAGAAAACAGTAGCATGCCGTTCAAGAAATAGAGCTCTACGGAAACACGGCCTTGACGAAGTTCAGGCATTTATTCTTGCCGATGACGTTTACAACCAGTTTTCGGTGTCCCGAGTTGCGGCGTTCAACCTGGTCCCGACTACATTCAAACAGGCTGTTTCACTATCGAAAACCTACGTGAGAATTTTACTGTTTCATTCTGTCCATGGATTCATGCAACGGTAGGGCGCTTCTGAGTCTCAAACGTGAGAAGCTCGATATCTCAGCCTGAAATGGACCTTGACAACAATATGAGAATTTGACGTGATGGGTAGTCCGACGGGCCAGATGAAACACGATTGAAATTTGAAATCGGAGTTGATATTCCAAAATTATCGGTTGGATACTCATATGAACAACCGGAGGTTCTGGGCCATAATGTGCTATCCCTACCGTTTCATGACTCCGTGACATTCATATTGAGGGTCGTCTGCCAGAAAGTTCGGGTATGAAACCGAGTCCCTTTTTCGACACGCATGTCTCCCTGGTTCGATCGAATCAAAGGCATACCATCGCCGGGCGTCATTGCCCGAAACATGTCTCACTGTCAGCTTCGAGAAGGTTTGCTCGTCGAGAGAACTAGTATGCACCTGAAACACATGTCTGCGATTTCAGTGCCACGACCGGGTGGTCGAATTGGGACTGAAAGGTTGTCAACATCGGATACATCCCAATGAGAATGTTGCTGCGTCGGTGAAGAAGTAGAGCTCCACGGAAAAGTTCAGTCTTCATGAAGTTCATTCATGCATTCTCTTCGATGACATTCGTAGGCATGTTCCAAGTAGTTGCGATTTGAAACCGAGTCCCGCCTTCAAAACATGCTCTTTTATTGTCGTAACCCCCTACGTAAGAACTTTACTATTTTTTTCTTGTGCATGACGTTCCCGCGAGGGCTGTCTGTGCCCGAAGTCCCGGTGGCACACCGACTCCCGACTCCGACACGCGTATCTCCCTTGATCGATCGAACTAAACGCATAACATCCCAGGGCGTCGTTGCCCGAAACATGTTTCATTGTCAGCTTCGAGTAGGCTTCCTTGTCCAGGGAACCGATGTGCATCTGGAGCCAAAACTCTGCCTTTTCGGTACTACTTCAGTAACACGACAGTCTTGAATTATTGGATGTGAAAACACTGCGAAACCAACACGGGTTCCGTATTGGTGAAACATTTGGACTGCATGGAAACGGACCTGGAACATTTCACTCCTTCCGTCCGTGAGATTCGCAGCAGATTCGGCGGTATTCGGGGTAAAACCTGCTCCAACTGTGACAGGCGAGGAAAAATATCATCCATCCGCCAACCCACCTTGCGCTCCCTCCTGCGAGACGAAACTATTGCACCGTCCGTAGCAGTGTCCGGCGCGCAGGCTGTTGCTGACGTTCCTCCACTGCGGCGTTTCCGTCGCTAATGCACTCCGGCGCGCTCGGCGGAGGATGTTTGGCTTTCCACCCACCGCCCTCATTCCACGCTTTGCTCGAGAAAACCAAGGATTTCAGGCTTTGCTTAACCTCGTGGGCAAGTGAGACTAACCCCTTGCGCCCCGAACGTAAAATTCCTACTGAAATACCACCACTTTCCGCCTCTTGTGAACATGCATCCCCCGCCGTCTGCATTCCACCTTCGTCGGCCCCATTTCCTAGCCATTTTGTTCTTCCTTATTTCTCCCATCCATCTGCGTCCTTGTTTCCGGCCGTCGTAGGGCCTTCTAGAGAAGCAACATACATGTCGGCCTACCGGAAAAGCGGCAAACATATGTTGGTTTTGATCGAATTTCGGCTTGTGCGATAGCTGGTGGGCGCGGAAACACAGCAACATTGCATCGGATGTGTTCTCGGAAAGTTTTGCGCGGTGTGGTAAATTAGACATATTTACGACTATTTTTTTTTTTTGCCTTCCGACAATTAGTTACAGATGGCTTGTGCGATAGCTGGTGGGCGCGGAAACACAGCAAAATTGCATCGGATGTGTCTCGAAAAGTTTTGCGCGGTGTGGTAAATTAGACATATTTACGACTTTTTAGTTTTTTTTTTTTGCCTTCCGACAATTACAGATAGATGTACCTCAGAAAACTTTCACTTAATGTTTCATACTCTACATGAATATTAAACCAATACGAAGTACAACAACATATGTAGGACTTATTTCTACTGTCACTTACATCGTAAAAATATCTCCTCTTCAATTTTTTTTTTCTTCAATTTGAAATAAAACCAATGACAATCCTCATGGTATCCTACATGCGTTCGTAAGCTTGCTAAAATACTACTGCGTTGATGTCCTCTTGTAAAAGCTGAAATCCAACAAATGCATTGATCCATGCTACATCTCCGTGTTGGAAAAGCCCTTTCTTCTCCATTCATGATACCATCTTACCCTATTCTACGTAAATCTGTCACATTTACTCTCTCTCAAACAAGACGCCAACATCAAACGAAAACGAGTTCTACGATGCGTCTACACTCCATCCCCATATCATTGGCGTTGACTGGTCCGAGGTCGATCTTGTTCGCCTGTTTTCGGCGTCTTGACGCCCGCGCAATGCGAGCTTGTACCTCTGCACTCGCCGAGATATGGCCAATAGTTTTCATCGACACCATGGTGACGAGTTGTGTTCAATATTCCGTTTTCGCGAAAACGCGGCAACTAGCTAGCTCAGATGTCAGCCGGTGTACAAGTACTTTTTTATTTCGGCACGGCTATTTGGGACAACGTTGTCCCAAATTTTTATTTGGGACAACACGTCTAACTCGGCCTAGAAAGCTCGGATCGACCTCAAACCAAGTTCGTTGTAATTCTACTGGACACAGCTTTCACGGAATGTATTTTGAGTCCACAACGGAGCCGGGGCCAAGGAGATAGAGCCTAAAAAAGGGGCTCCGTGGCTTCGGTAAATCCACGTTTTCCTCCATAACTCGGCTCAACCACCTCCGAAACACCCCCAAAGACTTTTGTTGTGCTTGTATGATCCACAGCTATCATCCAAGCCATCGGGTGGCCTCACCCGACCTGTAAATGCGGAGATACACCCTCCCAAGGGGCTCCGCAGGATTATTGGGAGGTGTCCTGTACATATCCGCGTCGTTACATCGANCTAGAAAGCTCGGATCGACCTC